AATCTTCCGTCACATTCATACGGCGCAATGATACAACTATTTGAACTCTCCGGAATGCGTGAGGTATCACGCCGCATTTGAAGGCGTTTTCAAAACAGCCAAGTTCCGATACCCGGATTATCGTTATGCGTAGTCCATATTCTTTTGTTATATTCCGTACCACTCGTTTATTTTTATTCCTCGTAGAAAAACCACCAATTTGCTAAATACAATTCTAGCTGAAGCGCACTTCAGCTATGCATTCACCACTGCAAAAATTTCAGAGGAAATCGACAAGCCCAGCGTGCATGGAGGCTATCTCCATTTAAATCTTCCGTCGCATTTCTAAGGCGCAATGATACAACTATTTGAACTCTCCGGAATGCGTGAGGTATCACGCCCGTTTTAAAGGCGTTTTCAAAACAGCCATGTTCCGACAACTGAATAATCGTTTTGCATAGTTCATAGTATTTTGCTTTCATTTCTAACCACTTGTTTATTTATAATCCTATAGAAATTACCCATTTGCTATATACAATTCTAGCTGGAGCGCACTTCAGCTATGCATTCACCACTGCAAAAATGTCAAAGGAAATCGACAAGCCCAGCCTTGCATGAAGGCAGGCCCGTGCTGAGGAAAAAGGTCTTGTAAACACTCGACAGTTGCCAAATTTTCCGGGGTAAAACAAGCATTATAGAGGAAACTTTTGCATATATTAACCTGAAATGTTTGGATGCTTCAGAGCAAATCTCAAACAATGTTCTCTGAAAAGTTTGAAGAAAAATATTCAAAATTTCCCGGAAAAATTCGAATTTTATTGAAGGAAATATGGCAATGTCTATAGGCTCATATGGCGTTCTTCCATGGGATGGCAGAGTAGATTTGCGCATTCGCTATTGGCTCCATCTAGGCCTATCGAGAGCGATTATGCGTATGCAGATGCGCCTGACCCATATGACAACGTGCTGAACGCAGTTAGACCGAAAGGACAGCGTTTTAAAGTATAAACATAAATAAAAAGCGGCAATTTGTCGTTGCCGAGGCGCAAGACTCCGAAATTCAAACGCAGCGCCCTCGGTGCCTCGGCCACCCGAAAACACACGGTCCAAACATGTTATGACACATTTTTCAACGAAAAAACGATTTATGGCGGCCCAGGGCGGCTCTCGCTTTTTTAAGTGATACGAGATAAGAATCAGAGCAGCAGGGCGGGCATTGCGCACGCGCGGCCGAGGTGCCTCATCGGTCAAGCGAAACGTTTTCCACGGGAATTCTAAGCAAACACAGTCGACGTTGACGATATCCAGTCAATGGTACGCCAAAAATGTTTCTCGGGGGTCTATGGCCAAAAATTTCTAATGGGGA